CAAAAAAGTTAAAAACAAAACAACTGGACTTTAGGGATGACATTTGTTTTGTTTTTAACTTTTTTTTTTTGATTTACCACGTCCTGGATGACTGAGAATCCTCACCAGCGCACGTATAAATTTATACAAACTCTTTATTAGTTGAAGCTACATTTGGATGTAACTGTAGATTTGAGTCAATGGTAAATCATAGTGGTTATGGTACATACTGTAAAGGCATCATACAAGTATTAGAGGTATTTATTTCTATCAAGTATGTGCCAAGAACAACACTGAAAGCCTTTAGTTCTATGTCATATAGGCTTCGCCCTTTAAGGCTGTCGCTGATGGGTTTATCCCGTTATGCGCAAGCATCATACTGAAAAAATTAGTCCACGCCCACCTGCTGTGTGGGCCCCACCCGATCCGTATAAATTACATTAAGAGCAGGTAATCTGCTCCCATTTTTCTTCAGCAAGCTAACATAAAACAACTGACCTTTCAACGAGATGTCCACCTCCAACACCATCCGCTTGTGTCCCTCCTGCAAGACCGGTTACTTGCTCAGCTTCGACCGGCACGACACCTGCGAAGGATGCCTGGGTCCCTGCCACGTCGCCCGCGCTTCCTCCTGCCGCCTCTGTGATGAGCTTCCACCGGAGGAAAGGCAGAGGAGAGCAGCCTTTGTTTTAAGGCTACCATCGAGGACTGCCTGTCCGTGGCGGGAGACTGTTCGCTGGACGACGCCATGGATTTCTTCGACGCCGGCTCTCGGAGTGAATCGGATGATTCCTCTGGGACCGGTGACGTTAGCAGCAGCCCCGACGCTCGTTCCCTCCTGGGGAGCGCAGTGTTGGAAAGAGGAAGGCCGAGCGGATGCTCGACTCCCCCGGGGTTTCCCGCCTCAACGGCCACACCGCTCCCTGCCGTCGGCGCACTCCTCTCGGAGCTGCCCGCCATTATCCGGGAAGCTGCTAACGTAAAGGGGCTCTCTGTCCCCCCCCCTCCCCCCGCTAAGATTGGATGATCTTGCGGGAAGGTTTGGCTCCATGCTGGCTCGCCGTCTTGATCCCATCTGGCCTCGTTTTCCAGCAGTGACATCGTACTGGAACGAGGCCGCAGCCGGTCCTGGTAGGTTAAGGGCGCCCGTCTTCACTTACGCTCCCATCACCAGAGTGGAGGGGTTCATCGAGCGGGGCTATCCCTCGGTACCCCCCTTGAGCCAAGCCTCGCGGAAACCTTCGGAGCGAAGCTATCCAGGTTGGAGCAGCGTCCCGTCCCTCCGGTGAAACACGACCAGGCGGTGACCGCGCTCTCCAATCGAGCCCACCAGTGTGCTTTTCAGGCGGCCGCAGCTAGCAACAACGTGGCACTGCTAGCATTTAGCATGTCAAAGAGGCTGGAGGCCGCAGACCTGCTGAGGAGACAAAGAGCTCCCTCTGTAAGTCGGCAGACGCCATCCTCAACATGTGCGCCGCTTCCACGGTTTGCCTGTCGAGAATTGCAGTGTGGATGACGGTAATCCAACGATCCACCTGGCTTCGTCACTTTCCCTCGCTGCCGGAAAAGCTGCACAAGGACCTGATGGAGGGCCCCATCACGTCGGACGCGCTGTTCGGAAGCAGCTTAAAAAACATGCTGGCGAATTAGAAGTAGTCGGAGGGGATGTCGAAAGCTGTGCGCCATCTCATCAAGCCGCGCGGCTCACCCCGTCCACCAGCCCGCTGGAGAGATCGTCGCGAGCAGAGGCAGAAACATCGGCGCTCCACGGCCGCAGCAGCTTCGTCTCGCTCAGCTCCACCACCAGCCCCGCCCGTCAGAGACCACCCCTCCTCACTCCGGCAACCTGCACTTCAGCGTTTCCCCAGAGATCGCCTGCAGACGGCGCTCGGGGCAAACAAATCGCAGAGCTCACGGGGGAGAAGATTTTAAAAAATGACGGTCTGCGGAGGATGTGTGTATAAATGACACAGAAGTTGAAATAAATGTTTTTTCAATGATCAAGATGTCTGTTTTTAGCCAGTCTGTAAGCTCGGATGAGCTCACAGCCGCTGCACACACATCCTCCACACATAAAGAGCCGGTGTCCTTAAATAAAGTTTTTTTAAACCCACCGCTGCTCCAACACATGACGAGACGCTCACTCGACACTACGGTAAGCGAAATAACTCGTTATCAATCAGACCCGCACGATCATCACCCAAGCGGTGTTAAACGCGCACCCGAGCGAGGCAAGCAGCCTCCATCCAAACGACGCTGTGTTGATGATGCACGCACAGCTGCCCGGTGCTCACCGGCTCACATCGGTATAAATGTGGGACCGCAGGCCGGGTCCGGTGGAGGTCCCCGCTTTCAGCGAAAACAACACACGCCTCACCTGAGCAAACGCGAGCGGCCGTCATCCACCGCGTCTCAGCGATCGGCAGCTCACGGCGGCATAAGCGTGAGACAGCTGAACGAACCCGGTGACGAGCCCCGCCCCCAGCGTGAGTGGCGCGCGCCCCTCCAGAGAAAACGTGTGCTCCCGCGAGGCTCGCAACCTTCACTCCGACAGCACGACGTTGATGAAGTCACGCCCTCCGCCTCTCAACGTTCGCAGAGCGACGTTAAACGTGCAGCCTCACGACGTCATCAGCTGGCACACGCTTCGCCTCGGCACACACCGCCCCACCCAGACATGAAGGTTGGTCCGCGATCCAGACGCAGCGCACGGGCGCGTGCAGAACAACCTTTTCGAGGAAGCCTCGCCTTTGGGTCACGCGGAAAACATTTCCGCGACGCATGACGGCGGTCGAGGCGGCGGATTGGATGACATCCGTTCAAAACACGGCGCATCACTTAAACGCACGTCCACTCCACGAACGTTACGCAGAGTGGCTAAAAACATGCTCGCCGGACAGATGGATGGACAGAGTGTTATGCAAGGGTTACATGCTGCAATTTGCAACCCGACCCCCTCCGTTCGGAGGAGTTATGGAGACGGTCCTGTCATCACCAGACCAAATCTCAGCCTTAAATGCAGAAGTTCAGGAGCTTCTGATAAAAGACGTAATCTCCAGAGTTCCCAACGGAGAGGAAAACACAGGGCTTTACTCACGCTACTTCCTGGTCCCCAAACGGACCAGAGGGATGAGACCGATTCTGGTTCTGTCAGCTTTCAACAAAGCGATCATGGACAGGCCGTTTCACATGCTGACAACCAGACAGCTGTTGGACAGCATCCAGAGAAACGACTGGTTTGTTTCCATCGATCTAAAAGATGCTTATTTTCACATACCTTTCATCCCAAAACACAGGAAATTTCTGCGTTTCGCCTTTCAGGGGATGAAGTATCAGTACAACAGGCTGCCTTTTTGGGTGTTCCCTCGCGCCTCGTACGTTCTCAAAGTGTGTGGAGACAGCCCTGCATCCACTGCACAGAGCAGGGATGAGAATTTTGTTTTACCTGGACGACCTGTTGCTCCTGTCACACTCCACACAGGAGGCGCTGATGCAGGCTCAGGTGCTGGCATCACACCTGTTAAATCTGAGCTTCGCCATAAATTGGAAGAAAAGCTCGATTTTCCCGTCCCAGACAATTGTTTATCTGGGAGTGGAATTAAATTCAACTACCATGAAGGCTCGCTTATCACAAACGAGACCTGGCAAAGTGATAACAGCTGTCTCCGTCATGAAGCTGTTGGGAATGATGTCATCAGCTCACACAGTGGTTCTGCTGGGTTTGTTACACATGAGACGCCTCCAGAGGTGGTTTGCGCGTCTGCGTGTGGATCCAGTAAAACAAAAAAGACGGATGATCACTGTCCCTTCCTCTGTGAGGGCAGACCTCCGACACTGGGGAAACACCCTGGTTCTGTCAGAGGGAGTCCCCGTCAGCAGACCCACGTCACACGTGTCAGTCTTCACGGACACGTCGCTGTCAGATGGGGGGGGATATGCCTATTTCAAGCAGTAGGGGCGCTGTGGCCCCACCATACATCAGTCCACATCAATGTTTTGGAGTGTCGCACAGTGCTGAATGTGATTCAACACTTTGCTCCCGTGCTACAGAATCAACACGTGTTGATTCACACAGACAACATGGTGACTGCTGCGTACATAAACTGCCAGCGGTGTGTGCGTTCAGCCCAGATGTTACACATTGCGCGAAAGCAGATTACCCGCTCTTAATGTAATTTATACGGATCGGGTGGGGCCCACACAGCAGGTGGGCGTGGACTAATTTTTTCAGTATGATGCTTGCGCATAACGGGATAAACCCATCAGCGACAGCCTTAAAGGGCTACGCCTATATTCATAGAATCTGGGGTTACAGTACGTAACCAACGTTTCCTGCTGATTAGTTCTGTAAAGCACTTTCTAGACTATTTTATTTTTTGCCATATAATTTTAAAATCACGTTAGGAAAAAAAAGAGGTTCAATTGTACCTTTGAATACATAAAGCTTTTTAAATATTAATGGACTGCATAACATGTACACCAGTATTGCCCTAATAAAACACTCTTCAATCAAAATGTATTGTGGCTATTTTATAATGATCTGCCATCATAAAAGGTAGGCAGATATTAAATTGAGTGCGTGTGTGTTGTATGTGTATGCTTTTTGTTTGAATACCTTTTTCAAACTGGTGAACCTTCAAATAAAAAAATTGAATAAAACTAGAAAAATGCAATTCCGCAGACAAAAAGTTCCCTCACCTTTTGTGTCTTGTTTAAGATATCTTAAGAGCACAAGGATGTCGTCTTTCTGTTCCATTCTCTCTCTCTTTCACACTCACTTCATTTTTCACTGTTCTCCCCTCCATTATTATCTCGCTCAATTTCACACTCTCATTGCACATTGTCTATTTGTCTTCCTACATCTCTTTCTGTTTGACTTTGCCTTCTTTATGTCCCTTCTTTGTATGTATCCACCCACTCCTCTTCTGTCAACTGTTCTCACCCCTCTGCAACATCCCCTTCCATGCTTGGTTTCTCTATGTCTATTCAGTGTCCCCCATTTCTGTTTTTCTACTATGTACCTGCCAGTTCCTTGGGAGATGAGGGCTCTTTGGTGATAGACGACGGTCTGATTTTCATCTCAATGGCAACCCTGGAAGAAAAGCGGGCCTTGGTTGGTGAGAGCAGCTCCTCATTAAACAAGGAATCAGTCTTTGCCATGACGAACTGTCCACTACTTTCCTCCTCGACCAGTGCCACCGTGTCTTTTACAGGGTTGCTAGGCGACAGGGCCCTGGATGGCAAAAGCACCTGTTCATCCTGACTGTCTGTCGACTTTGAGGCAGAATGAGGCAGGACTTGTACCTGACTGCCTCCTTGTCCATTGCTCTGTGGTCTTGGCGCTGCAGCTGCAATGGTAGCTTTTCCATGGCCCGTGCCTTGGTGGCTGTAAACCTTGTATCGAATCATTAAAATGATGATGAAAACTAGCACAGATGCAACAATAATCCCTCCTATGATGATGATCATAGTTCCACCCAAGAAGTGGCTGTGAAGAGCTTGACACTGGTTGAACTCTGTGTCCATAGTGAATGACAGACAGCCCAAAGGACGTGTTGCAGTCAGTGATGTGATGACATCATCAAAAACAGCCAGGACACAAAGATCGTAGCTGCGTCCAGCGGCAAGGTCTCGAACCAGGAAGTCGTTACTGCTGGATGGAATCATCCTGCCATGACAAACACAAAGAAGATCTTAATATCAGTATAGGGCTTCTAAAAAAACTATTGAGCAGATTAAAACATTTTTAGATCAATTTGTTTTGAAAAGAGTAACACTGTATAGACTACTCGGTACCCAGTAAGCCACCAAAGAAGCATTTATTTGACCGACCCCCCCCCCCCCCCACACACACACACACACCATTCAACAAACATGTAATTACAATTAAATATACTATTAATGAGGTTTAGATTTAGTGACAACAATTAAAATATAATTTAAAGTATACATATAGTTTGTGTGAGACAAATATTCCATGGTTGTGACCAATTAACTATGCTTAAGAGTCAAACCCTCTATCTACACATCGAGCATTTTCTTCAGATATTTTGGCTAATTTTTGTTAAATCTAGTGTCAAATCACCAATAGGTGGTTAAAGTGGAAAACATATTTTAAGGACTTAAACAGACAAATATGAAATAAGAAAATTAATTTAAAAAACAAACTGTTTAAATTAATGTGTAATGTTTTCCACTGTGAATCTTTAGATGAAGCAAAGTATGTGACTTTTAAAGGGGTAATATGCAGGAGCATAAGATATTTTAACAGAAAAAAAAAAAAAAAAAATATATATATATATATATATATATTTATATATTATTCATGCATTCTGTTGCAAGCATTTTCACTTTTTTTATGTATTTAAAGCATGGCATTCTCAAAATAGTTTGGTGAATATCATAAACCATTTTGCCTTTATAAAGTACAAACATGTTTACACAAGTTGGGAATATTTTTAGACACAAATGAAGCTTAATTTGGCAAGATGATCATTTGATTGATCATTTGCCTAATGACAGTCTGATTACTTTTCTTAATGTTATTTGATAAACCAAAAAAAAAAAAAAAAAAAAA